CAAGTAAATAGAGAACGTCCATAGTACCTGTAATGAAGGAAAAACAACTTGTCATAATGAACAATTTGATAACATCTATACTGATAATACTTCACTACCTATATTTAAATCTGTTAGATGACAATCACACTCTACACTCAACAATATTTACAACATGACATATCTACATAATAAATTGTACAATGTAGTGTGACTGCATAGGTACATAAATCATACTAACCTCCATTACTGTGAATTCATGGTTTATCAACAAAGCCAGCACCAATGTAGGTATCAGTAAGAACTCGATCCTAAAAGTGTCGTGGTTGTGGTCATATGTCGCTTTGAACTTGACATACATCAGGTAAACAGTCGCGTATGAGGCCATAATGAACACCATCTTCATAAACGTATTATATGCAGAGATGTAATTGGTAAGCAGATCCAAGTAACGCGCCGTGTAAACAACCGAGAAAAGTATCTGCGACTTTCCTGAAATGCCTGAAAACGAATACCAAATTGGAGGAGTTTTGATTGGAAAATACATACTAAATGTGCCGGTCGAACGAATCATTTCACAGCCTATGTAACTTACCCGCACATGATCTGGTTTTCCATATTTTAAGTAGTAATATTATGATAGCTAGAAGATGGGATAAATCACCAAGTAAACGGAAAATATTCATTTTTTACAGAAATGCTTATCTCAGTTACGCCGCGTACACTCTATCATTCAAGCAAAAATGACGTGGCTGATTGACATGACACATTTGACACAACTTTTTAATTAAAACAATTATTTGTGTGGCAAGACCTACAAACATGGAAGTCTTTTATGAAGAAAAAGTAATAAAGAACCAGAATAATTAGTCAGTTATTTCCAATAAGAATTCTGTTACAATATTTTTGGTCTATGAGATCTGATTTTTCAGTTATCTTCAAAGATATTTTAGCTAATTAATACAACTACAGTGCTAATATTCATTTGTACCAGAGCACCATCCATGTACTAAAAACCTTTTTTAAAATTCTTCATCGATTAACAGATTGTTTTGTTAGTCGAGTAACCAATAAAAAATTACAATAATACTCAAGTTTGCTCTTCTACCACAATTTGTAATCCGATATTCGAATATGTAATATTTTTATTACTTTGTTCTATTAACCTTTCGACTTTTTTATTAGGTTGTATGAAATTGCCGTTAGCCAATTCGCAAACTTTCCAAATCTTAATCGCCTAAGTACCAAAAGCCTTGTACCCATTTTAAAAACTGAAATCATGTGGCAGATTTGTTTATTGTTTTCTTTTTGAGGTTATTTTCCTACGTCAAGTGCACAAGTGCATGGTTCAGTAAACAGAGGTTAAAATTGAAATATTGTGAAATGACAATTTAATTCTACGTTCACTATTTAAAGTGCGCGTTTGTGAACCAGTGTTAATATAAACATTCAAAATGGTGCGACACAATAATCAGTTGCCTAATAATCTGACGCAGTTACAAAACCTGATCAAGAGGGATCCCGATTCATATAAGGAAGAGTTTCATCAACAACTTGCTCATTTTGGAACTACATTGGAAATTTTCAATTTGAATCCTACTCAGTACAACAAAAAGCTAGATGAACAGGCCATGTTCTTGGCACAAGTAGCCCAGTGCTATCTTGAAGAGATGAAGTTATTTCCTCAGAAAATAGTAGATATCTTGAAGACACACAATACAGTTCTTCACAATGATATGCGCTTGTCTTTGTGTAAATGTCTTATTCTACTGAGAAACAAGAATTTTATCACAGCCTTTGATCTGCTGGAATTGTTTTTCCTCCTCTTGAAATGCCAAGACAAACATTTGAGAGAATTCTTGAAGACACACATTATTACAGACATCAAAAATATGAATATGAAACACAAAGATATGAAATTTAATTCAACATTGCAAAACTTTATGTTTTCAATGTTGCAAGATTCTAACCCAAAGGCAGCAAAATTGTCACTTGATATATTAATTGAATTGTATCATAAAAATATATGGAATGATCAGAAAACTGTGAATATAATTGCTGACATTGGTTGCTTCTCAAAGATTACAAAAGTTATGGTTGCATCTTTAAAATTCTTTTTGGGCAGAGATGAAGAGGAAAAAGAAGAAAACTCTGATAGTGAAGAAGAAATAGATCCTAGAGATACTATGATTTCTAATAAATTCAATAAAAAGACAAGGAAAAGAGAAAAAATGGTGGAGAAAGTTAAGAAAATGGCAAAGAAAATAAAGAAAAGGAAACAAAAAGCTCCCATATTTAACTTCTCTGCTTTACATTTAATTAACAATCCTCAGGGATTTGCTGAGAAGTTATTTAAGAAGTTAGAATCTTCTAATGATAGATTTGAAGTTAAACTTATGTTGTTGGATGTTATTTCTAGATTGATTGGTTTACATGACTTGTTCTTGTTTAACTACTATCCATTTATTGCAAGATTACTTTTACCTCATCAAAGAGAAGTCACTCGGATACTATTATTTGCAGCTCAAGCATCTCATGAACTAATACCACCAGAAGTACTAGAACCTGTGATGAAAGCAATAGCGAATAATTTCATTACTGAAAGGAATTCCACTGATGTCATGGCAGTAGGTTTAAATGCTGTAAGAGAAATATGTGCCAGATGTCCTCTGGCTATTGGTGAAGATTTACTCAGAGATTTGGTTCAGTACAAATCTTACAAAGAAAAATCTGTGATGATGGCTGCAAGATCATTGATCCAGCTATACAGACAGTCAATGCCTGATATGTTACACAAAAAAGATAGAGGAAGGCCATCCGAGGCTTCTATAGAATTGAAGAACAAGAAATATGGTGAAATGGAAATTAAGGATTATATACCTGGGTCAGAAGTACTATTGGAGAAAGAAGAAATCAAGGATTCAGATAAAAAGAACAATAAAAAGTCTAATAAAAAGAAAGACGATTCAGATAGTGAAGAGTGGGTAGATGTGGCATCCTCTGATTCTGAAATCAATATATCTGACAGTGATGAAAGTGACAATGAAGAAGAGGGTAGTGATGAAGAAGTAGAAAGTGAGGAAGAGGATTTAGAGAATGAAGGCGAAGAAGAAGAAGAAGACGAAAATGCTGAAGATGGTCAAGAAAAGAATAATAAATTAGACAATGAAATAGTTTCTAACAAAACAACAGACAGGAAGATCTTAAAAGCTAAACGCAAATCACTTGACAAAAAAAGTAAAGAAGAAAAGGTACAAAGTGCCAGAGAAATAGCAATGGAAACTATTTTTACTGATGAAGACTTCAAACGAATTGAAGCAGCACAACTCAAAAAAGCTGTAACAGGTACTAAACGTAAGAGTGCTGTAATAGAAGAAGAAAATGAATCTGGAGAACTTGTACAACTGTCTGCTATTGAGAACATTCACAAAAAAAGGAAACACGATAAAGATGCTAGGTTAGATAGTGTTCATAAGGGTCGTGAAGAACGCGAAAAATATGGGTATAAAGATAGAAGGAAGAATATCCACTGCTCTAAAACAAACAGGGAAAAGAGGAAGACCAAAAACTACCAAATGGTAAAACATAAAGCTAAGGGAAAGATAAAAAGATCTTTTAAAGATAAACAAATTGCCTTCAGAAATTATTTGATCAAACAAAAGAAAATGCGTTGATAAAATTGTACCAATCTACAATGTATATTGTAAAAATAAAATGCTTTATGTTGATGTCTTATTTAATTATTATCTATTGAAAGATACCCAAATACTAAGTAATTCAGATCTTTAAGAAGACAAGTACAAACCAACAATATTTATAATGTTTGCATTCAGCATTAACAAAACATTACAGTGTTACTTTGTTGCAACTAGAGTTCTTTTCTGATTTTAAGTATCATGTACTTATAGACGTTTTATTCACCCTTACCCATGGACGTTATGGCCCTTTACGGCGCCCATGTGCGGGCGCCGAAGCACCGGGCACGCCGCCGCGCGGAATTTCACAAATTTAAAAAATTCCGCTGCCGCGCCAGATAAGTGCGGGAGGAGCTCCAGCGCGATCTCATGGCGGAATGGCAGCAATGACTGTCGTAACCGAGGGCTGGGCTCGCTGCGATTGCAGCGGTAAGTCCCCTCTTTGAGGAGTGGCTTGAGAGACGCTACGGCGTCCTCACCTACTGCCTGAAGCAGGTCCTCACCGGACATGGAAGTTTCGGGAGGTATCTGTGTCTGATGGGGCGGGAGGAAACGCCCGGGTGCCATCACTGCGAGGGCCGCCCTGAAGACACGGTGGAACACACAGTGGGCGAATGCCCTGCGTGGGCTAAGCACCGCCGTGCCCTCAGGGAAGTGATCGGTGATGGCGAACTCTCGCGTCTGGGCCTAGTGTAGGCCTAGGGCATGATGCGGAGTGAGGGGGACTGGGATGCCGTTTTCTCCTTTTGCGAAACAGTTATGCTAGCTAAGGAGGAGGCGGGACGCGTGAGGCAGCGAAGCGCTGCCTCCTCACAACCCAGCCATCGCGAAAGACACACCGGGCGTCGGGAATCGCGGGACGATCTCCGGCCACCGTAAGCGCGGGCCTGCGGACGGCGAGCATGGGTGGCTCCCCGTCCGACCAGAAACAGACCCGAGCGTACAGCACGTCGCGTTCTGCGCGCGCCTCAAAGAGCCATCAGACCACCACAGATGGGGCCCAAGAGGGCCGATGCCGATTCGGAGTCGCGGAGAACCTAACAGGTTATCGGGACTCCGGCTCGACGTGCAGGAGGACTAAAATCCACTCCGTTCCTTCTGGAACGGGGTGGATTTTAGTCAGTAAGAGTCTGACACTCCCTTCCGCCTCACCCAGGCGGGAGCAGTCATTTGATGATTTTCCCCCCTTAAAAAAAAACAAAAGATTAAGCAGTTTTCTCCTCACTTTTTCCCAGTGCTTTTTCTTAAAAGATTTTTTTTTTCTTCTTTGGCATGCCTAAAAGATAAATATTCAATTTTACAAAAATGTCATGAATTTTATGTCAGTTTCGAAATAAACGTCACACAAAAGTGACAGACGTCAGATAAAAAGTGAAAACATTTTATTTACTATCATCATCTATTGTTTGATTTGAACTGAATTAAAATCAAGAGAACTTTGTCTGTTGTGTGAAATATTATTGTTAAAAACATAACAATGCTAAAACCTAAAGCTTTGACACAAGTTCTTAGCCAGGCAAATACAGGAGGAGTGGAAAACACATTGTGGGTGTCACAACAGTCATAGTAATTGTAAGTTGCTGTAAATTGACTTAGAATGGATATAATTTACATTGAGCGTTTATGTTTCAGGCTCTTGAATCATCAAGGAGCCCTTTTGGCTTACTCTGGTTATAATGACAAAGATGCAAGGGTTACAGCAGCGATTGCGAGCAATGTGTGGTCGGCGTACGAAAAACACGGAAGGAATGTCTTCAAAGAGGATAAACTACATCTGATATTGGTTGATTGCTTAAATGGAAAAATAGCCATCACACAAGTTGCCAATTTGCTATTGTGCCTTTATGCAAAAGAAACTGTAGGCTTCGGTATTCTAAAGGAAAAGATAAATGCTATAGCTCAATATCTTGAAGGTCCCTTAAAACAAGTTGCTAGTTCATAATATATTTACATTACTAAAATATCGTAATAAGTGTATTATATCAATTACTGCTTTATATTTTATTGTGTGTATAAATAAAGCCTATAAAATAAATTGTGTTAAGCTATAAGAAGAATGTTGTTAGCTTATAATGTAAATTTTATATAATTAAAGTACTATACTTATAAATTGTACTTGTTTTATTTTATAATTTATGTGTATACCTTGGAATACCTTAGTGATGACATGCTTCCGATAAGCTCTTAAATACCTAAATCCATTTGTGCATTTCAGTATTTTGTATTATCAGGTTATTTGGAATGTTTACACTGTAGGAAATGGGCACCTAATCTGATGAACAGTATATTGATTTATCTGATACACAGTTGTAAATGTTTAATCTTAGTTCTTATTATTATTTTAGTATTCATCATGTATATTCAAGTATGAGAATAAATAAAACAACTAATACAAAGTAGAACTCTAAAATTAAATGTTTAAGCAGCAAGAAGAAACGGTAAAACGGGGTGAATAGAATTCGCCCCATTCCTGTATCTATTCACCCCTCGAATTCTATTCACCCCGTTTTACGGAACGATAAATTCAGGAAAAAGCTGTAGAAAACTAATACTGAAATATAAAAGGCATGATAAGCAGGCAGTAAGCAGATTTGGAATTACTTGAACGATTTGGAATGAACTTGTTGGATGGTCGAAAATGCGACAGCCGAACGAGGGGATTTAGGTTCGATTTAAAAGTTAAATAACAGGACTTTTCATTTTTAAAATATCAGTCGCAGCATTGTAGAATAGAATTAGATGGATCTAATTCTAGTCTAGTTACACTGGAGTGTAAGTGAGGTAATTTGTAAACCCAAGGTGTAAACCGTTCATCCTTAAGATTGTAACAGGATTTATAATCAGTCTCCTTTGTCACAATTTCACAAACATGCAACTAAAAATATTTGAGACATTTGACAGGAGGCAGCTGAATGTCATTGGTTCCCATATTTGTAGGTTGGCACTTCTGTTACAAAATTTGTTGTCAAATCGCCGCAAAGTTGTGTGTTGCATATTGGGAGATAATTTTATTGTTTTGCTACTATATTTTTATCCAAATATTCCGCGATAAGGCTGCACAATGAATTTATCTGAGGATAATACATTCGGGAACGGGCTTCTATACGTGGGATTTAATCAAGATCAAGGTAATGGAGTTGATCTAGTTGTTGTTCATTCGCGTGCGCTTCATTTACAAATCGGTTTACATTTTTGTTTTGCAATCTTCAGGTTGTTTTGCTTGCGGAACGGAGAATGGATTTCGGGTGTTCAATAGCGACCCACTTAAGGAAAAAGAGCGACAGAATTTCGCTGAAGGTGGTCTTTCTTACGTCGAGATGCTATTTAGATGCAATTACATGGCTTTAGTAGGAGGTGGTAAAACCCCCGTATATCCTCCGAACAGAGTCATAATATGGGATGATTTGAAAAAAGATTCTGCAATATCACTCGATTTCAACAGCCCTGTGAAAGCTGTGAAGCTGCGAAGAGACCGCATTGTTGTTGTATTGGGTAACTTTCTTTTTATTATTTGTCTAATTAGTTTTATCTACTTATCAGATGTTTAAGCTTTAACCATTATGTCATATCATATTTTATTAATGAGTTGTTTGTTCTATTAAATGTTGAGAAATAGTATATTTGTAAATTGACTTATTTTGGTCCTTTTTAAGAAAAACAGTCTAAATATCAACTTACAAATTAAATCAGTAACTAAGAGACCTTTACCGTCTTGAAGAAACTATTAGTATGTGCAAGAAATTCTTAATTCACCATTATTTCTGCCCAATTTTTAATGGTACTATTTTAATCCTTTTTTGTAGAAAACTTGATAAAAGTTTACACATTCACGGCTCAGCCACAGATGTTACATGTGTTTGAGACATGCCAAAACACTAGAGGACTATGTGTTGTCTGCCCCAACAGTAATAATGCTCTACTTGCCTACCCCAGCCGCAAAACAGGACATGTTCAGGTAAATAATATAAATATTGCATTAACATAACACATTATTTATCTTCATTACTATTATTTAAAATGTTAATAAATGTGTAGATGGTCTTTTTATGTTCATAAAAACTTGAATCTTTGTATATATTTATGTCTTATAACTTAGCCTTGAGAGGGCAATAGACTAACTTAAATACAACATGATTATAAGGTTGAACCTAATGAATATTTATTTTCCTTATTTTACTTCAATCCATTCAATGTTCAACTGTAATATTGAATTCATATTCATAATATGGCAATATTTGAATGCATAATTTGTTCTAATTACTGTTCTATAATAAATCTATTTTTATAATGTGAATGAGGAAATATAATGTTTAAAATTGTTATCTGTGCAGTTGGTGGAATTAACCACACATGCAGGTGCCAGTGCTGCCCCAGAAGGTCACTTGATAGCTGCACATGAGGCACCACTCAGTTGCCTGGCCCTCAATGTGGGTGGAACCCGGCTGGCTACTGCCTCTACTAAAGGCACACTCATCAGAGTTTTTGACACAGGCACTGGACAGAAGCTTGCTGAGCTCAGGAGAGGCGCACACCAAGTAAGTCGAAATTCTTCAGATTTTGTCTTTTACATTTTCATCTCATGTTGTGTTAGGTAGGTAGGTATTAGTGTTGAGATTTTTATAGTGTACAGTGATAAGTGACACATTATTTGTTTAACTTGTCAGTTGAATGCACAATGACTATTTGTTAATGGTGCATGATGAAGATAATATTAATATAACTGTAGATATTCATTTTAGATGTCATCTCATATGTAGAAGGATATATTTAATTTTCAGGCTACAATTTACTGCATAAACTTCAATCACTCAAGCACCAACTTATGTGTTACATCAGACCATGGCACAGTCCATGTGTTCAGCTTGGAAGATGAAAAGCTCAACAAGCAGTCCAGTTTGGCGACAGTAAACTTTTTACCAAAATATTTTTCAAGCAATTGGAGTTTTTGTAAATTCACCATCCCCAATGGACCTCCATGTATCTGTGCCTTTGGAGTTGACAAAAGTTCCATTATTGGTGGGTATCTATTATGATTTTTCATATGTAATGATTCATATTATTAAAGTATTTTAACAGCAAATATGATAAAGAATATCTAATCTATTTTTATATTTCAGTTATCTGTGCTGATGGATCTTATTACAAGTACAAGTTTAACGAAAAGGGCGAGTGTACTAGAGATGTTTACGCTCAGTTCCTGGAGACATCTGAAGACAGATAAATATTACATCTTATTGAAGACGATGTAACAAACTGTCACCCGAAAACTGAGTGTATAAGTGAGCTTGTCTCCTATAAACTCATATTCGCGATATTTGTTGAATTTTTCGTGTGATTAATTAGTGATACTACCTGAAATTTATAGAATTATAATAATATTCAACGTAGAGATAAATATTATATACATTTATGACGATATATTTGTAATGAAGAGATGTAACTTGAATTTTCAAGTGTCATGTTGGCTTTAGCCATGCAACTTAGATGCAAAAAATCACATATCATGTATCCACTCAATTTCATTATGTACCTACTTCATTACTAGATGTTGGAGGCAGACTCATTTATAAACAAGTATTGGCAACTATCACATAGTGCTACGTTACACAATTCATTCCCTGACCAACAAAATGAATAATAAATATCTAATTGTAGTTTGAGCTTTATGTTGCTCTGTGACATGTTATAAAATCTTAGATTTTACGATTGAAGACTTTTAAAATACAAAACGTTAGATTAGTTGTTTAGGCCAAGAATTGTGTGATTTTATATGAAAGCAGTGAAGGTGCAAAATATGTGTAAGATATTTTAATCATTAATATTGTGGTTGTAGCCATTTAGTTATCGTCACATTGTGGCACTTATACTCGAAGGTATCCCGCCCTTGACAAATGCAATGAGTGATTAGAAAAGTCAATGTAAGTGCCCTTTTTTGAGATATGCACATGCCACATGGTTGTGGTCCTACTATGTGCTCATATTTCTTTGGAATATAAATGGATAAATGTTTTTCTACAAGTTTAAACATAATTTGTATGCCAGTGTACAGCCACTAACTGGCTTTTCTATTCATTCGTTTGACTAGCATATAGATGCCATTTGTCTGTGGTGCCAGTGGGAGGGACTCAGGTCAGACATTGGTCGCGTCGTGTCTGCTGCACATGATCAATGTATTAAACTTCCTTTAGACATACCATATAATTATACTGAAAACTAAAACATTAATATCACTTACAAAATGGCATTAAATTTTACTGCACATTGACAAAATTATTAGAATTCATTAAAACAGCCTTCATTCCTTGTGATGTGATGTGCCGTTTCAGAATCTATGTGAAAAATATTATGTATGTTTTGTTTTTATGGTTAGGGCAGATTATATCTGCAAAGAATCATTAGTATGAAATTATTATTATTGGAAAATCCAAAAGAACTTTGATGTCACAAGAACTATTATTTAGTTACGTTTGTTTTTCTTAGACCTTTATAAGGAACAGTTTAACCATTGAATTTTGGTGTTCATTCATTTTATAGTAAAAAAAGCTTGCTTTTTAACCGACTTCAAAAAAGGAGAAGCTTCACATCAGCTGCAATTAGTTTATTCATATAAAAAAAACTTTGAGTAATTGGATTTATTAAAACTTAAGACTGGATCTTTGATCAATATTTGTTAGTTACTATATTATTGCAAAATTGAGCATTATGTAGAATAAAAGTTAAGTGGATAGTACGTTATTAAGATGTGGTTATTGTAACAATATTATTTATATAACTTTTTTCACCTAGATATATAAATGTGGTCAATCAACTAATATTACAGCCAAACAACTGTCTTGCGACAAAAAGTAATTGTGTTTTTAATTAACAAGTTTCCTTATTATTTGTATTATTACCTAAAATCAGTAAAGTAGAATTAAAACGATTGTGATATGGATTTATTGATCAAGTGGTGCAAACAAGACCAACCAAAGAATGTATAACATACTTTTGTACGAGATTGCCTACATGAAAGATAATGACTTGATGGACAAGATTATTGGTTGAATTTATTTGTTTCATTTGATAAGCGTGATTGCTATATATCTTATTCTATATACTTTTAATGCTACTTCTTATACCGTGCCTTTCCCTAATAATTTACATGAATTTTATACTCGGTATAATAAGTATTATGCCAAAGTTAATGTTTTGTTTTCGTATCTTTGTGATCTCGATGAATATTATATCTCTTCGTGTTGACTTCCAAATGGATATATTTACGTATCGTACTATATCGTTTATTTGAAAAGTTTATTTTTAAATCTGTAGTTTGATATTGCTGTGTATTTATGTAGATAAGTGACGAGGCTCACAACATATTGCTTTAAAGTTTAAAACACTGATTTAAATTATTGTCATTAGTGTTCTGTATGAATATGATACAATGGTCTAAGATTTGTTTATGAACTGACTTCTAAAATGGATGAAGTTCTCGATTCGACTGTTTGTTTTTTGTGATATCTGATTTCAAGTAATTTGCGCTCGACTCTGAAATATTTCGTGTTCAGTGTTAGTTTTACTTCTGCTGTTTCTATTTACATTTGGTGATTAGCAGCTCTGTAGATTATATTTTTTTAAGAATCATATTATTTTTGTGATGTTTGTTAACCATGCAATGTCCTGTAATTGTAATCAAGTAATTTTTTTTAAATAAATTAAGTATATTTTTCTAGATGACTATTATTTTTCCTCAGTACCTAATTAAATAAATAATTTAAAATAACACAGTTTGCAATAATTAAAAGCAAGGATAACTAATCTAATATATATATATTTATTAGTTATCTTTTCAATACATCTATGAAGGTATCCCTTGGTATTCTAATGTTGGCAACACTGCGCATCTTTTTCTTTCCCTCCGCTTGCTGTTTCAGTAACTTTTTCCTGCGAGTGACGTCACCGCCGTACTGAAATATTGCACAAGAAAAAAAATATAGTGAAAATAATTCAACCTAGCTTTCACAATGGCAAGCAAAATTCGACTCTAAATTATGTGAATAAGTGGCATAATATTTAAAATCATAATATGGTTTGATTTTATATTGCTTTTTGTCACTAGATTTTGAATACTTTATGTTGACTGTTAACTGATAAATAAATAATATTTGATCAGATAATTACTGTTTACATCACGTAAACAATGTTAATGAATCATATTATCATAGGCATACATGGTGCTTAAGTACAGCTACCATGCAGTTACACTTTGTGAAATGGATTTGTTTTTATTTAACAATATCCATTCCAATTAACACCCTCTCAATAATAACATAAGTAAAAAAACACAGTACCAAATTTTGTTTACAATTTTTAGAGTTCACCAGGAACTGCCAAACATATGGAGCTGAGAAATTGTTTATTAAATACTAGCTACTGCCAGCTACTTCGGTCCCGTGGGAAGAAAAGTATCCTATATGTGTTATTCCAGAGGCTTTAGTACGAGTTTGTTTTACGTGTATTACGCGTTCGGCGCTGTGATTGGCCGGCACGAATGAACCAATCAGAGCGCCAGACGAGGTTTCGTTTCGATTTCTACAGCTTCAGACCGTAATTTAATTTACCCCAGTTCCCAATTTCATACCGATCCCTTCAACCGCTTTGCTGTGAACGATTAACAAACAAATTTTTGCATCTACACAGATAATAAATAAAATTCGAGTGTCTGTTTGTCATATTAAAATAGCCGCTTTTTACTACATATGTACTATAGTTTTTACAATTTTTGTTTGTCTGTTTGTATTGGCTAATCTCTGGAAGGGCTAGACCTATTTTACAAGACTTATTAGCAGGTAGCTGATGTACTAAGTAGTAACATAGGTTACATTTATTTTGGCAAATTGAAACATAAAAACATTTTTGTTCTAAAATTCATATTCTACGCGGACGAAGTCGCGGGCAACAGCTAGTTTATAATATTAGCAAGATGGTTAGTGAAATGTATGGTTGTGTAAATATTGTTCAAGTTTACCAGTTTAGCTGTAACATCCTTCCTGTATGCTTTCAATGTTTCTCTAGCAAACACTTTACCACCAACAACTGCTTGAATGGCGACCTATAATAAAAAATTTAAAGTCCGTTACATAGCATTGCCTATAGAGATATATTTTAATAGATTTTCATAAACAGTAAGTAAATAATTGAAATAAAAAATGTTGCTCTTGATTATGAGCCCCGTTAAGGCTTGAAACTTATCGAGCTTTTTCGAACTCTTTTATAACATATAACATCACGCCTTTTATCCCCTAGGGGTAGGCAGAGGTGCACATTATGCCACTGTACAATGTAACACCCACTTTTCACTATTTATGTTATGAGTCCCATGTAACGGGGGGTGAGCCTATTGCCATATACCGGGCACAATTCCAGACTCCGTGCAAACTGAGAATTTTTAAAAAACTCAGTAATACTTTGCCCGACCCGGGAATCGAACCCGAGACTCCCTTCCCGGCAGTCGCACTTGCGACCACTCGGCCAGCGAGGCAGTCTCTCTCTCACTCTTGTCTAATGAGTTAGAATTGACAAATGAGTTATATCGTTTCTTACCTGTACCATCTGCCTTGGAATCATTTCCTTGAGTTTCTCAGTAAGCCTCCTTGCGTTGTACTCTAATCGACTAGTATGAACTATTGTAGATAACTCATCCACTAACACGCCGTTGATTAGGATGTCCATCTGTTAAATGCATTATATCCTTTATTCTTATTTCATTTTAGAAACGATAAAGTTATGACATACATTGCCAGACTCCAGAATCGAAACGAAGCTCTCATTTTCGGACTTTGCCAGCCTGAAAATTGAATCCGAGACTTCTTGCTCGGAAGCCATACTTCTTTTCTTACCAATCGAAAACCGAACTAGTCATAGTAGTCATTTCCAAATATTATTTTGCGAAATCAACATACCCTAACTAGCGCACTGGGATGGAATCCATAATCCTGGTAGTCAAAACTGGCGAATCCTGAAGTGATACTTTTGAGTGTGTCGTGAAAATCAATGACGACTTCTGACAGGGGTAGAATGTACTGCAACATTGTCATTCTGTCGTCCACTGCGTTAGAGGGCAGGGGTGTGCCGCGACGGTCTATGCATAGAGACGTCACTGCTCCTAGGTACTCCACGGGAGTTATTATTGTACCTGTAAAAAAGTTCTTAGAATATGCACAACAATCTAAACTTCATATATTATTTTATGAGTACTAAATATTCGGAAGTTGGTTAAACAAGACCGCTAGACTTATGCCTTGGGTCACACTAAGGCAGTTGTCGCAAATGAAAATGAATGACTCAGAAGTCAGGTATACGATGAATCGTTTTTACTTGTGCAAGCTTGAATCTTATACTATTAAATAAAGCGGAAGAGTTTGTTTTTTTCTTTATTTATTTGAACGCGCTAATCTCCGTAACTACAAGTCTGATTTGAATAATTATTTTTGTGTTGGATAGTGCATTTATCAAGGATGGCTATAAGCTATAAAACATCACGCTACGACCAATAGGAGCTGAGCAGAGCGTGTGACACCGCGCGGAAGTAGCTAGTGTGGTATAAAGCTGCCTTACCTATTACAAACGGTTCATAGTATTCTTCAATGTTATTAACGTCGGGCAACAATAAAGGATTCGTAACAATAACTTCAGTACCTTTGTATTGTTTTATTGCTTTTGTTCCTTTTACTCTGAAAATATCAAAATACGCATGTATTACAAGATTGTCATTAGCACTGTGAAGCTTTCATTGAATGTTAAATCAAATGTATTAGTGCTTTAATCGCAGCTTCAGCGGTGAAATAAAGGAATCCAACATTAATAATGTAATTTTCTTAAGATGCCTGGTATATGGCAATAGGCTCACCCCCTATTACATGGGACTCATAACATAAATTGTGAAAAGTGGGTGTTACATTGTACAGTGACATTAAGTGCCGAAATGTGCACCTCTGTCTACCCCTTCGGAGATAAACAGGCGTGATGTTGTTATGTTTTCTTAAGATGAAACATTTTAAATTTTTAAATTATTTATACAAGTTTAGGTATTCTAATAACTTTGACATACTTCACTTTATAAGGGACAGAGGGCGCAGTTAATATGGCTTCGGCTTTGTATTCTTGCAGTAGACGTTGTGTGAACACTTCAAGGTGCAATAGTCCTAAGAAACCAATGCGCCAACCTTGACCCAAAGCTGGACTGAAAGGAAAAATAACAATGTAACTGACAGGCCCGCCGTAAGCGCTCGTGCAAAGCGTGCACAGCACACGGGCGCACGATCATGGGGGCGGCAAATCGAGCAACTCATTACCTAATATTCAAAATCATTGTCCATATTTCTTATGCTTTCTGCTTACTCTGGACTCCAGAGTAAGCAGAAAGCATAAGAAATATCATCGCCGGGAAAAAATCCCACTCGACGCAAGCAATATTAGCGTTGTGTATTACGTTTGAGGCCCTATACCGGTCAGTAGCGCCTTAAATTCGATGTCTATTGAGCGTTCTTGAAAACTATTGACTTTCCACGATCACATTCTATAGTCACTCAAAAACTATCGAGCGTCCTCGATCGCTTTCGAGGGTCACTCGAAAACTATCGAGCGTCCTCGATCACTTTCGGGTGTCCTCGATTACTTTCGAGAGTTACTAGATCACTTTCGAGCATCATCGATCGATTTCGAGCGTCCTCGAAAACTTTCGGGCGTCCTCGATAACTTTCGAGCGTCCCCGATAACTATCGAGCGGCTTCGATCACTTTCGAGCTTCACTCGAAAACTTTCGAGCGCCCACGAAAACTATCGAGCGTCCTCGAAAACTTTCGAG